GACCGGAGTTTTACAAGTTAATTCCTCAATAGGAATTTCTTCCCACTCGCCGTCCGATATGACAATAGCGTCTGAAAATAAAGATGTTAAACCAGAAAGAGAAAAAAAGATTTGCGTCTTAAGTTAAAAACTTACCCGTCATCTTAGCTTGTTACACCTCAAATCACGACTCCAAAAATGCGGTTTTACATTTTATACAGCTGTTTAAAAAAATCTTGAATAGAAAACGGTTGCGATTGGTCGAAAAAAAAATGTTTATAAACAATACAGAGTCATTTGCTTTGTTGTATAGGTAGACAAATGTCTGAATGGGTGTTTAGAGTTGTGTGTGTGTGTGTGGTGTGTGTGTGTGTGTGTGTGTGTGTGTGTGTGTGTGTGTGTGTGTGTGTGTGTGTGTGACAGTGAAAACAAAATGTGACACTAAAGGCAGGAGGCGATGGTTAAGCTTTCACTGCTGATGATGACGAACCAAAGATGCTGTTCACCTAAATAGCTCTTTGAAACAATAGCAAGTCATTTGCTTTTGTGAATTGTTTCCATGCCGACTTGGTTAGAATGAACCAGATCTTTGTTTTAAAACTTCCCCGCCACCTGCAAAAAAAAAGGAAGTCAATTGCTTTGTCAGAAGTCGCTGGCCGTGTAAAATTGTTTAGAATGAGCTTTAAGAAAGCTCAACAGATCTTTGTTGAACCAACTTCCAGACACTCTTTCAAACAAATCCACCTGCAGAACAATACAGAGTAATTTGCTTTGTGAGTTGTCGACTAAAAGCTCACGCTGAGGTAAGGATCAACTTTTATTCTTATAGGCTTGAGTATGCAGGGTGGTTTACAACAGAACCATAAATGGTTTAGGATGGCAAACCATTGCTTTTCTGAAGTGAGAGAAATGTATGAATGGTGTTTAGAGTTGGTAACCTAAATTCTTTACTTGTCTTAGAGAGAGTCAGACATTTTCTGAAAGGGGAAAGTGCTTTAAATGTGTGTGTGTGTGTGTGTGTGTGTGTGTGTGTGTGTGTATGTGGGCTTACAGCCATTAATTTGATGTGCTGCTGGACAGAGAGTTTTACACAATAGTTTTAGTTCTGGTCAAAAAGTGTCAGTGAGCTGCATGTAAATATTTACACATTTAAACACAAAGTTTAAGACTGAACATACGAAATCCAACGTGAACATCTGCCAGATGGCTGAGTAAATCAAAGAGAGTATTAATGACATAGACAATGTGTCACTCTGAAGAGTTTGTGTGTGTTCAGTAAAAGGCTGCAAAAGTTCTTGCATTGACCTCAGCTTCTGTCACTCACTCGAGAGCAAGCAGACCATCCCATCTTGTCTGCTACTCCAAAAACAGATTCTTTTACTTTGAGGAGACGTACAACCATTTCATAAGTACTTGACCAGCGTGTGGGGCTGTCATTCACAGCAGTTAGGCCGCACTCATCCACTGTCAGTGAGCCATGTCATGTTTGATATAAAAAGTCCCACGAGGTTAGACTGATATGGTGTGCCAGTAAGGGCTGGTAAATGCATTATAACGGCTGCAGCGTCAGACTGATGTGGTTCTGCTCACTGGTGAGGCTGGCCTTCTTTTTCTTGCTTCTCTGCATTTGCAGTACAATTTAGATGACAAAACATTCTGTGTGTTGAATTTAGGTGATGAACATATCTGAGAGGTAAGACATTCCTCTTCCTCGTGGCTTGGTGCTTCATGCATCTCCTCGTGGTTCATCATTTTTTCTTAGAGCTCGGCTTTTCACCATTCGGACAGATCTGAGCTTTTAAAGAGTTATCCACTATAGGATTACACTCAGAAGGGAGGGGGCTGTGGGAACCGCTGGAGTAACACAATAAGAAACTTCACACGCCATTACACACATTAGCCTATGACGTGGGGATCATGGACATCTGGACGCTCAACAATACGCCATTGATGATGCGGCGTGGGGGGTCTAGGCCATCTGGATGATCAACAATACACATGTCCATTTGATTAATGATACGGAAGGGGGGGACAAAGATTGAACAATACACCTGTCCATTTGATTAATGATAGGAAAGGGGGGCAAGGTCAAGGGTCAAAATGAACAATAGGACTGAAAGGTCAAAAAGGTCAAAGAACAATAGACCTGTCAAAATGTTTGACGAAAGGTATCTTATAATCCTCTCTCAGAGACAGTCAGGACAGGATAATAATAAGAAAACAAAACAAAGAGCTTGGAAAAGAAAATGAAGGTAGATTTATCCCATTACATGTTTTACTATTATAAAATAATTATTATTTATAAGCTCATAACATTCATATATTCCATACAATTCAGATCACCTTCAAAACTCCGTCCCACCCAGGGCCGTATCAAAGCATTTGGGGGCCATGCCAGCGAGGTGTCCCTTATTTATTTTTTGGGGCATTGGCAATCCTAGTTCAACTGATGCTGTGGAAAATGACATTTACATTGAATAATATAAGGTAACTGTGCTACATTTATTTCCTGTTCATTGTTTACACAATAGACTTTTCCAAACAATGTTTTTGAACAGAAACCGGATTTGATTTTAGATTTTTCTCCGTTAAAGACAGTATTCAGTGATTTTACACACTTCAACAAGTTATGCACTTTTTAAATAAAATGAACCTCTCTTGCATGAGCGTGAACGCGCATGAAGCCGCCTGCTCGACCCGAGCAGCTCTATTATTCTGTGATTTTACAGAAAAACAGGAAATCACAGTAAAAATGCCAGGGCTCATTCTACAGGACCAAGGCATTGCTGGAGAATGTATGAAGAAGACATTTATTATTTCTATACGTGTTTTGGCCGTCAAACTTCCATAATGTCCCTTTAAAGTTCAAAGATTTGATCGAATTTAGGACTGCATTATTTATGTACAAAGTAAATAAAAAAATACTGGCTGAAAATATTCAAAAATTGTGTAATAAAAGTAGCCGTGGGCAGCACGGGCAGAATATCTTGCCCTCCGGTCAGAACCTGAACACACCACCAGTAGGCAACGGCTTATAAAAGACACACTTTATTGCACAATCAATAATAAAACACAACGATAAAACACCATGGCCCAAGCCCTCTCTTCTAAAACCAACTGTCCAGCATGAGTCACGTAAGCAGCGGTACTTAGCTGTCACGGATGGTGTGACCCCCGTCCCCGGGGTCTGAGCTTCCAACGCCGTCCAACGCCCCGGGGTGTAGCTTGCGAGGACGGCGGGTAAATCCACAACATAAGTCAACTGCCAGAGTCCGTAGCGGCAGATGTCGGCGCGGCCTTGGCATCACCTATGCCCAGCCCTAACTGTCTAAAGAAGGCGACCAGCCTTCCCTCCTGGCGCTGGAACACTAAACACCTGTTCAGCTATCTTCGTCGCCGGCAGCCCTACCCGGCTGCGATCGACCCCACCCCCCAAAGTCCGATGCCACAATGACAGGTCGACCACGCACCCCTCTCAGTAGGTCTGTCACCCTTTTATCCTCCCTGGCCTCGTTATCCATAACGAGGACCAGCTGGTGTCCAATCACCACACCCTCAGAGCCCGGCAGCTTCCGTCTTCTGCCCATCACAATTGTTTGCAGAAAGACAAGGTGGATATAAGTTGAGAAGGGAATAAAATCTGAAGCAGCATTATGCTCGAACAAAATTGAAAAGTATGTGTATTTCAATTAGTGGAGTTATTTTTTGGAATAGTCTTGAAGAAAGAATCAAAGAAAGTTTAAATATAGTGCAATTTAAGAAATTATATAAAGAATTTATTTTTTCAGATATAGACAAGAGTTGATACTTTAGTGTTGTATTGTGATGTGCTCAGAAGTTGTTGTGTTCTGATATTTAATTTTTTTTTAAGTATGAGTTAATTGATTTAGGGTTAGGTGAAATAAGCTATGCTTCTTCCTATTCCTTTTCGAACAATTACGGTTGTGATAAGTTACCTAAGTTGGAAATTACTATATGTATTGTTTTATTTGTTTGAAATAAATAGAGAAAAAAGAAAGACAAGACTAAGTAACTTTACATCATCACTCATAATTTCCTGTTCTGCCACTGAGACATAAACCCAACACCATCCGAAGCAAAGTCATGAGATAACAAAATAAACCACCGTCTCTCTGATGTAACTCAAGACTGGATCATTATTATTGACGTGTGATTATGTAAGCAGTGACAAACTTTCTGTGAGTCACAGTATTTCCAATGGGAAGATTGGTGGTTCAATACTTGGCCTTCGCACATGAACATGCCCTTGAGCAAGACATTAAATCCCATAACGCTTAACATGCTCCTCGGTAAGGGATCGTTAAGAACAAACTGCACATGTAGAGGCTATCAATATGCTGTGAAAGGACTGGTGTTAAGTACGTATACTACAGGCACATATATTCAATATTTAGATTTAAGGAACTTTCTGGCAGAGTTGGAAATATTTTCTGCTTTATAGTCAGGTTGTTCCCAAACTAGTGATTACCTGAGTTCAGAAGAAGGGATTTGCATTATTAATGGGCATCTGTAGGAGTAGTTTAAACTCATTTTTTTAAATCCCACAAAAGTTTTTAGAACATGGAGGTGTTCATTAGGTGGAATGGTGTGATATGTCATTAGCAGCTAACTTGGACTTTCTAAATCTGCTAGTAAGTTTTGTCAAGGGACAAAAGAAAATCTGAATCGCAGTTATGAGTATTTTGACCAAAGTATTTGTCATAGTTGTTTGAAGCAAACATCCTAGCGTAAGTACACAGAAGCGTATAGTGTACAAAATAGACCCTAAAATGGAAGCAACGCATCTCTGTGTTTCTGGGACGCTTCTAAAACATGGCACCTCGCGGCTGGTGGAAAGGCACCTCTTCACTATAACGGCGGCTTATTGCTGTGACGCACGTTTTGCTGACATCGCACGATGCTCACACGTGGGGTGGAGAGGAGGGGACAGTTGGAGAGTAGAATAGTTTAGCATCATTGCTCAAATTTAAATTCACACCTAATCTTTTCTGTCGTTTCAGAAACCTTCGAGTCACTTTTGTCCTTCACATCTAATCTCACCAGCACTCTGTTTGACAGCGCCTACTCCGCACTCGCATTTGACTGTCGCCCCCTGGTGTTTCAGCTGTTCAGCGACATCAAGAAACACCTTTCAGGTGATGCTAGATCCTTTCTAAGCAACGCTGTGCAGCAGTTCTACAGTGATCTCTTTCCGCTGGTCTACCGCCGTCTGCTCAACCCCGGCATTGGCCACACTTCACCCCTTACCCATTCCTCCCAATCCACCAATCACGACGACTGCCTGAGGATGACCCAACAGGACATCAGCCCTTTTGGACCCCATCCTCGGCTCCTCGTTAACAGTCTGTCCCGTGCACTCGGGCCCGGTCGAGCACTGAGTCAGCTGCTGAGACTGGCTGGAGAGGTTGTGAATTCAACAGAGAAGGCCGCGTTATCTAGAGAGTGTGGACGGGGATTAGTGAAGATGCAGTACTGCTCCCACTGCAGAGGGCTGACCCTGATACGACCCTGTACTGGACTCTGTGTCAATATAATGAGAGGATGTCTGGTAAGTCTTTGGGTGCTTGGGGTGCAAAATTAATCAAGGAACAGGCATATGGCGCATTCTCATCTGGGTCGGCCCAGTCCGGTCTTGTTTCAGTCAGTCCACCGCCATGTGGCCAGACTTTCTTCACACGGTATTCTCAGGAAATCGAATGTCTCAGAACATGTGGGCGGGGCAAAAGAGGAGAAGTCTGTGGTGTCCTCCTTAAATTAGTGAACAAAGGTGGCCGTGAACAGTGTTGCATTTATGATATATGACCCACACTTGTACAGCAGCTTTCAGAGTCAGAGGACTCCAAAGCGCTTTACACTACAGTGTATCATTCATCCATTCACACACAAATTCACACGCCGATGGTGATGAGATACAGCTGCTCTGGGGTGGACTGACAGAGGCGAGTCTGCTGAGCACAGACCTCGCGGTCCCTCTGACCACCACCAGCAGGCAAGGAGGGTTAAGTGTCTTATCCAAGGACAGAACAGCAGAATTCCCCGATGGGAGCCGGAATTGATCCTACAAATCTCTGATTACTGGACAACCCGCTCTACCTCCAGATCTACTGCTGCCCCTGAATTTAGAGACTCTGACATCAAGCACACAGCTTCCTACTGTCCCACTGAGCGGCTGTGCTGCCGTGGGCTCTATTCACAGCAGACGTCCGGTCCTTGTGCTCCCCCAGCCTGAGCAGCAGGTCCAGGCTGCCATCAGAGAAGATGTTTACTCCACTGCATCCAGACTGATAATGAATCACACATGAGGAAAGCTGCCACTGACGTCAATCAGATGCTCCCACTAGTAGATAGGTGTGAACTTCAGCCAGCCAATCAGTCTAGTGGTTGTTTTGAGTCAGCTGAGCAGCAGGCTGACCGCTGGAGAGCAGGTCTGAAAAAAAAAAACGGTCTGCTAGTCACGGAAAACGTACAAGTTGCCCAGATATTAACATAATTAACCCACCAGGGCTAGCCAACCCAGATGTGAATGTGCCAACACAGACAAAAGCTAGAGCCAAATTGTCTCACCTCTGATTGGCTAACAGCAACATGACCCTTCCACTCCCTTCGTTCGCTCTTCTTTCTTGGGTTAAAATGCATCACTGATATTTTATGTTTATTTATCCAAAGCGACTTACAATTTATAACCTATAGGGCATGTTGTGATCTGTGGGGGAAACCGGAGTACCCGGAGGAAACCCACGCATGCATGGGGACAACATGCAACTCCACGCAGAAAGGCCGCCGCCGAGTTTCGAACCTGCAGCCTTCTTGCTGGGAGGCAACAGTGCTAACAACTAGGGTTGCAATGATTATAGATGTTGGCATAGTCTGAGAAATGATCACAGTTTCACGATTACCACTATTACATAAATTGATTTCACATCTGTATTAAAAACCACACACATTCTATAAATTACTGATAAAATGCATGATTACAATCTATAAAGGTTTTGAACCCCTGAAATATCTATTGTTCCTTTTCAGGAGTTTTGCTTAGAAAAATTCAATCTGCTACTGATTTGCAACGCTGATGTTTTATCTCCACAAAAACACAAGCCTGGAGGAGTTCTGCTGTGTGGTGGGGTTGCTAATGCTAATGGTTAGCTTCTACTAGCAGAGACATTCTCTGCTGTTTCCTGGACGCGTAACCAATAACACTCTTCTCCGTCATAACTCAAGATCCTAGAGTTTCGCCGTTCATTAGTAGGAGACTATTTTCATGTTCAGCCTGCAGAAACACTCAGAGTGATTGATTATCAGAAATAATCATTAAAAAAGTTTTTTTTTACAGTGTTCCAATCCTTTAATTATATTTGCCTAATTGCCTTTTTTGAGTTTCTGTAAGAAGACAAAGGTTTCACTGTTGACAGCTGGTCTGCGTTTGCACTGACGGATGGAGACACCTTAACGAATTAAGATGCTAAATTCCTACTAGTGCAGTTGTGAATAGAAGAAGAAGAAAAGATCTTTTCTATAGCGCCTCTCAAGATAAAAATCACGAGGCGCTTCACAAAAACAAAAAATGTAAAAGAAAATAAATATTACGTATTAATAAATAAGTAATAAATAGTACTTATTACTTAAATGTAATTTATACTTGTGTATATCTTTCCAAATTTCATCAGTAAGAATATTATTTGGAAAAGGATAAATTATATTATTGCTAGGTAGAACAGGAATTACATAGAGGTGATGTTGATTAAATATTTAAATGGCTTGCCGTACAGGCTTGTTGTAGACAGATATACTGGATTGTTCTAATATTACTGTTAAATCAGTTCCGTCACTAACGTAATCTGCTTTGGTTTGCTGATGTTTTATTTATTTTTTTGTGGTGTTGGAGACGTCTTTACGGCGGGTTAACTGCAGCGTTTCACACCGTGGTTTATAGTCAAACCGGTTATTCCCTGCAGCCCCACTAACAACTGCGCCACCATGCAGCCATTTGTCTGCACAAATAACACAAGCCTGAATGTGTTCCGCCATGTTGTGGAGTTGCTAATGCTAACGGTTAGCTTCTACTTGCTAGACACACTCTGCTCTCTCCTGGCTAAAAAATCTACACAGCCTTCTGCAGTTACAAGCCAAGGTGGGCGGGGCCATGATTACTGATTTCCTCTGTGACATTAGAAGAGACTGGCCTCTTCTGACCCAGTCGTTTTCCTTTCTGTAGCTAATTCAGGCGATTCGCAATAAAGACAATATTAACATTCATCATGCATGTGCAACTCAGAGTGATCAATTGCTTTTAAAATGAACAAGTATTACCTGGCTTCTCAGTGAATGACACCTAAAATAAGCTCAGCACAAATTCCCTAATAATATAATGAGATACCGTATAATTAAAAGGGCTTGTGGTTTCCTTTTTGTTTCTGAACATCTTGGCTCCTTTTAAAACCAAGTCACGTTTCTGAGTTGTTAACCTTATCAGCTGTGAGGGGGTCAAATTGGCAGCACCTTCCAAGCGAATAGCAGCAAATAAACTCTGAAAACTCTGTTTATACTTGTGAGGGAAGACAGAGAGCCCAACGAGAGGATGAGGGAGCTATTTCATTTAATGAAAATGAGGGCTGCCCCTCCTAAAATAGATTCACCCATTCATTTCTATTTATAATACTTTTTGTGTTTTTAAGTCCCATTCTGTTTTTGTTTTTTTTACTCTAGGTGGGTGTTTCTGAGCTGGGTGCCCCCTGGGGGCGTTTAGTGGTATTGCTCCAACGGTTAGCTACGACTTTAGCAACCAGCAGCAACCAAAACAGCATGGAACTGGCTCTGTTAGCAGTTCGAAACCATGTGAACGATGCCATCCTGCACGCACAGCTGCACGGCCCACGGATCTCAGCGACAGTAAGATGCTGATTTGGGTTGTTTTTGTTTGTGCATAATAAAAATGTGGAATTCTGGACATTGAAAAAAGCTTTTGGAAAATTAATCTTGCACTTTGGAAAAAATAAAGAAAAAACATCTAAATGAGGACTTGCAGAAGCTAAGAAAACATCCTCACTTATATTCCCTTAATAATAAAGTCATTTAAATGTTGGACACTTGAGTGAGAAAGGCCGTGGGTTTCTTTCTCCCTGGCAGTTGGATCTTCTTATAAAAAGCCTTGTACCTAGAAGGGCTAAAAACAGCCTCATTCTTCAGAGAATCCGGGGTTCCCCTCAGTCTGTGTGTGTCCGCACAAACGTGTGAGTGGGAATACAGATCCAGCGCCAGACAAAGGCCGTGGTTGGCGGGACAACCGATACCCAGAATGCTGCTTGGTTCTGGGTGATGAGAAAGTTTCTGTGGCTAATCTGTGGACAAACAGATGGCACACAAACACACATATGCACACACACACACACACACACATGGTTGGAGGAAACGATAGAGTCACCATCCAACTAAGAAAGGACACCGTGGACTACTTGGAGTAAATTCCTGAGAGGTAAACAAACATACACCAGCAGAATTACATTGCTAATTGTGGCTTAGGGGAAGAAGTCTCTTCAGTGAATATTTGTCAAACTTCCCATTTGTCACAGCAGATTTGACCTAAAACTACTCAGCAACACCAGTGTCTAAACTAGACGTGGACATCAATAGAGTGAGGGTTCACTGGATTGGACCAGAATTGATTTGTCTGCAGAGCTTGATTGCATGACAATTGAAATTCATCACCATATGATTTATTGTCTCTCAAGCGGTCATTTGCGATAATGATAATGCAAATTTTGACGTTGAAATAAGTTTAATGCGCAGCCTTGCTATATGACAGTATGGAAATTCAGCAATGTCAAAATATGTGAGGTTAGCATTTGTAAAACAGATAAATAATCCCACAGACAGAATGTATTTGCAGGAGGTCAAAGAAATTCCTGTAAAAACTGCCTTAAAAGGCTTCCTTGAGTTGTCAGAAATGAAATGTTACATTTTTGGGGGGTCAAATCTGCCGATGTGAACTGTCTCATCCACAGGTGGAGAAGGTGTGTGGGCCCCAAGCATCCGGCCCCATGACGGCAATTACAAGATTAACTCAACCGCACACTTCAACTTCACTAACCTCAAAAATGCCACCTGTGACTTTCCCTCCTTCAAGTCATCCCCATGTGCAAATGCAGCCTCAGAAGTGAGTTTTCTACACCTGATAAACGGTTAAATCGGGATAAGATGGGAGAATACCTTAGTACTGTGGTTTGTGTACAGGCCGTTCCCTCTCAGAGGCTCTAGAGGAGACAAGAGTCGAAACCTGAAAAAACTGTCACGGTGAGTTGTTTTTATAACTAATTACATTCCTTATTATGGAAACATAAAATGACTGGGATGTGTTGTTTTTATGCATTATTTGTTTCTCCCAAAATTTACATCGAGCTCTCGGTCTTGCACAACTTTACCTTTTCCAGAGAGTTTGAGAGCTCCATTCAGCGGTACAAGTGGTTTTTCTCTGAGCTACCAGAAATGCTCTGTGAAAGTGAAATGGAGGTGGAACAGCACACCTGCTGGAGCGGCCACGATGTTGTGGAGAGGTACGAGTGTTCTGTTGTGTTCACCGTTTCATGAATCTGTTGATCTGACAAAGGCTCTTAGTTCAGGAATTTCATTTGTGCAGATAAAGCAGCCGGAGCACCAAAATAAAACAAAAATTGATATTTCAATATGTTATTTATGCTCTTTTTGCATCATTGTCACCGAAAAGTCTTTTTATTTCAGGACTGAGTTGCAGTTGGATTGCATTGGAATGAATTAGATGCAACAGGATTAACGGGAAAAGAATTAGACCCATCTGGGTTTTAAGCATGTGCCTCATCATGCGTTGCAGAGATCTTTCTATCGGTGCTGATAGGGACACTTTATATGCATCCAACGTGTAGAACTATAGTGATGGTGTGTTTCTGGTGCTAAAGGTAAAGAGAGCTTTAGTCTTTCTGAAGCTGTGTGCTTTAGTTGGGCCTGATTCTGTTGTGCTTTAACCATAAAAGATAATTCTGTTTGGATCACCTTTAGAATTTTTTTTTATTCTTGTTTCTGCTTTTTTAGTACTTTTGTATTTGACCTGAAAATAAATCTAAAAAATGCAAGAAATGATTGAACTTTGGTGACAGTTGGTGCAAAACCAGATCAAGAAGAAAATAATTTTGTACTTTATTGACTTTGGACTGGGCAGACTGGGCGGACTGGAGACTCCTATGATTTTCTTTAGCAAATAAATGAGTTGTTGTTACTCTTGT